TTATATATAATTATATATATATATATTTTATATATATATATATTTATATATATATTATATATATATATATATATTACGAAGAGAGAGAGAGAGAGAGAGGTATACCTGGAGGGTGTTCCGGGGGTCAACGCTCTCTCGGCCCGGTCCACGAGCAGACCTTGTGTTGGATCAGGGAGTGATTAACCAGGCTGTTGTTCCCGGCCACACCACAACATACCACGTGCTATAGTGAACAGAGTACCTAGAAAGTCACCTCCTCTACGGAAGACAGCTCCATGCACGTTATCTGTTCTAGCGAACACAAGAAGCACATAACCTATTCTAGTGAACACATTTGGAGTATTTCCTAGTATTGTTAAGGAGTAATCTGGTAATACTTATACTTATGGACTCCATTTTTTCCCCTTCCTTGGTAGTGTTTCTCCCTGACAGAGATGTCCTGCTGGAAACCTTCACCATCTTCATCGCTGATTTCCCTGCAGTTGGAGGGAAATTCATCTAGGTGCGACTGGAAAAAAATGTATACTTAAACACACATAGCGGTGCATTTGTTGACAGGGCAACGGGAAGTTTTCCACTTGCTCTCTCTAGTTGTGAGCTTTGTTATTTCCGAAAAATTTGCTTTGTAGCTAACCATAAAACATACCCATATTTTTCTCATCACCAATTAGGATACAGTCAATCTCCTCATCTCAAAGACGCTCACGAATCTGTGGACCAAGAAATTCACCCCCAAAGCTTTTTGCTTCAATGAGCCTCCAGGATTTACCACCGAGGCACTTTGATGCTACATCCGTTTTGACCATAACCTTTAACTTATAAGGATGGTAACAACATCCTGCTCGAGTCTTCAAGTGGAGGATATTGAGCATTTTTTCTTCAAGGGTTCATTAATTGTCAAGACGGCTTAATCCTTTTTGATGTGATGAGACGTCCACACCCAAATATCCCATTCACACATAAAACAGTAATACTTAGTGTAGCCTAGACGCAGTCCAAGCAAAATAGCAGCGACTTCAAGTGGCCAAAAAGTTGCCACTGATGATTGTTGCAGCTTATGCAGCTGAAAATATACTATATGTTGCCATATGCTTCCTTAAACTAGGCTGCATAACCAGGTGGAATTGATGGCAATAAATTGCCAATACGCAACAAACAGCGTTAGATGCTGCTGATAGTGGATGACAGATGAAGAAAGTCTCCACTCGTCAAGAAGAGTGGATGACAGATGATGAAAGTCTCCACTCATCAAGAAGAGTGGATGACAGATGATGAAAGTCTCCACTCATCAAGATTATAAATAATACTTAGTGCTGCAAGCAGACCATTAATGTGGTTACAAGCTACAAGGTCATCTTCCATGATGAAGACTGGCATGACATCTTTTTGACGTCCATGTTTAGAGTAGAATAGCTTACTGTAATATTGGAATATATGCTACCATACAACAGTATCAGAAAGTATTGAATTAACATAAGAATGAATCATACTGGAACCATCATGGTCCTTGTATATAGCAGAGCTGACAGTGTAGTCACTCAACCACAGAGCTTACACTAGGATGACTTCAACCAGCACAACTATGATTTAGTTTTATCAGAGGTACCAACTATGAAACTGCTGTCTCATCCGACAGCTCCTTGGCACATCTCATAACTCTTGAAGTCATATAGTCCATCAACCTATGGTAAGTTGTAATAAACGATTTTCACTGAATAAACGTGGAATAGACGGAGACTCAAACCATGATCATTGCATTCAGCAGACCTAGTGTTGTAACAATCAACGATTTTACAACCAGCACAACTGTGACATGATTGTATCAGCAGCACCAACTGTGACGTGGTAGACTATCAGCACCACCAACTGTGACGTGGCTGTATCAGCAGCACCAACTGTGACGTGGTTGTATCAGCAGCACCAACTCTGACGTGGTTGTATCAGCAGCCCCAACTGTGACATGGTTGTACCAGCAGCACCAACTGTGACGTGGTTGTATCAGCAGCACCAACTCTGACGTGGTTGTATCAGCAGCCCCAACTGTGACATGGTTGTACCAGCAGCACCAACTGTGACCTACAGTCTCAGAAACCTTCATGGCACGCCTGTTGTCATGCGCCTCAAAAGTAAATAGTGTTGTGGGTTGACTAGAGAGTGACTGAGGTAGGAATAATACGTGGCCTCGCTCCAGCCACAGGCAAGCCTGGAATATGAATCTGAGAAAACCACGGAACGGGCGAGGTTTGAGCCTATGGCCAGTGCGTAAGCCACTAGGCCAGCTGATGTAAACGCTTACGGACTGGCGTAGAGCTTTACCACTCACTTGCCATGGATTCAAACTTCTCTCGTTCCATGGTTTGTTTGCAATCGTGTTTTTAAGATTTCGTGAGTTAATAAGAATGTGAGTCAGGTCAGAGGGGACACACCCCACCAGCCGAGTGTTACTCTGGTATAAATAAGTTATAAGTAAGTGGACTATAGATAATATTAACAGTACATTAACAATATTGACAATAGTCTATAAATCCAAGATAATTCGGATGGGGACATGAACTTGGTTCTTGTAGATAAGTAACAATGCTGTAACTACTCAAAAGAAGAGCTTACAATACATAGAAACAGTCAGCACTGTAACTGAAAGCGTACAGTGAGTTCTCTGCTATATACAGTGATCACAGTTCCACTCCCTAACCCAGTGGTTCCCAAACTTTTTCAGCTTGTTACCCAATTTAACATGCCACATAAAGCATGTTACCCCTTTCACAAAATGTTGTTATTATTGATATATATGGCTAAACGTGAACGTATACAGCCTCGCATACTCTGCTAATCCTAGCAAAACCATTGAAAACGTAAGAACCACACATACATTATATATAAAATTAA